GAACGACATGGCAAAGATGATTTGCAGGAAGCAACCTCAGATTGTCCTCGGTTTGATGTACTTTACCGATCTTATTCTGTTCTTCCTTGACACCTATCTGTGGTATATCATTTGGAACGCCATCTTCTCCGTTGCCCGCTCGTTCTACCTCGGTATTTCAATCTGGACTCCATGGAGAAACATCTTCTCTCGCTTGCCCAAGCGTATTTACTCGAAGGTTTTGGCTACTACAGACATGGAGATTAAATACAAACCCAAGGTATTGATCTCACAAATCTGGAACGCCATTGTTATCTCCATGTACCGTGAGCATCTGTTGGCCATTGACCATGTCCAGAAGCTTTTGTACCATCAGGTAAGTCTACTTTCAATTTCTATATCGATGTCAATGCTAATATTCTCAGGTGCCATCCGAACAAGAGGGAAAACGTACTTTGCGTGCACCCACATTCTTTGTTTCCCAAGAAGATCACTCCTTCAAGACGGAATTTTTCCCAGCTGGCAGTGAAGCCGAACGTCGTATTTCGTTCTTTGCGCAGTCTCTGTCGACACCGATTCCTGAGCCACTGCCCGTTGACAACATGCCTACATTCACGGTCTTGATTCCTCATTACGCAGAGAAGATTCTATTGTCTCTAAGAGAAATTATTCGCGAAGACGATCCCTATTCTCGTGTCACTCTTCTGGAGTATCTGAAACAACTTCACCCGCACGAATGGGATTGCTTTGTCAAGGACACGAAGATTCTAGCCGACGAAACATCTCAGTTCAACAGCGATCCCGAGAAAGGCGAAAAAGATAATGCCAAAGCTAAGGTCGATGATCTGCCGTTCTACTGCATTGGTTTCAAGTCAGCTGCCCCCGAGTACACCCTTCGAACCCGTATCTGGGCATCTCTTCGCTCTCAAACGCTGTACCGTACTATCTCCGGATTCATGAACTACAGCCGTGCAATCAAGCTTCTTTACCGTGTCGAGAACCCGGAAGTTGTTCAAATGTTTGGAGGTAACACCGACAAGCTTGAGCGTGAATTGGAACGTATGGCACGACGGAAGTACAAGATCTGTGTATCTATGCAGCGTTACGCCAAATTCAAGAAGGAAGAGATGGAAAACACCGAGTTTTTGTTGCGCGCTTACCCCGATCTTCAGATTGCGTACCTGGATGAAGAACCTCCTGCCGAAGAAGGCGGCGAGCCCCGCTTGTTTTCTGCCCTCATCGACGGTCACTCTGAGCTAATGGAGAACGGCATGCGTCGTCCTAAGTTCCGTATTCAACTCTCTGGTAACCCCATTCTTGGTGACGGTAAATCTGACAATCAAAATCACTCTGTTATCTTCTACCGTGGAGAGTACATTCAACTCATTGACGCCAATCAAGACAACTATTTGGAAGAATGCCTGAAGATTCGAAGTGTTTTGGCTGAATTCGAGGAGATGACTGTTGACAACGTTTCTCCTTACACTCCCGGACTCCCCCCAACGAAGACGACTCCGGTTGCCATTCTTGGTGCACGTGAATACATTTTCTCTGAGAACATTGGAATCTTGGGTGATATTGCGGCTGGTAAGGAACAAACATTCGGTACTCTTTTTGCACGTACATTGGCCCAGATTGGAGGCAAGCTGCATTATGGACATCCTGATTTCTTGAACGGTATTTTCATGACAACTCGTGGTGGTGTATCAAAGGCACAGAAGGGACTTCATCTGAACGAGGATATTTACATCGGTATGAACGCTTTGATCCGTGGAGGCCGTATAAAGCACTGCGAATACTACCAGTGCGGCAAGGGTCGTGATTTGGGTTTCGGTTCTATTCTCAACTTCACGACTAAGATTGGAACTGGTATGGGAGAACAATTCTTATCCCGAGAATACTATTATCTTGGAACCCAACTTCCGCTGGACCGTTTCCTCTCGTTTTACTATGCTCACGCCGGTTTCCACATCAACAACATCTTCATTATCCTATCGGTGCAATGCTTCATGTTTGTCCTTCTGCATGTCGGTGCCCTGCGTAACCAGGTCGTTATGTGCAACTATGACAAAGACAAGCCTATCACAGATCAACTGACTCCAATCGGCTGCCGGAATATCACTCCCATCCTGACCTGGATCACACGTTCGATCTTGTCTATCTTCATCGTGTTCTTCATTTCTTTCGTGCCGCTTGTCCTTCAAGAGCTCACAGAACGTGGATTCTGGCGAGCAGCAACCCGTCTTGGAAAGCATTTCGCGTCTCTCTCACCGTTTTTCGAAGTGTTCGTCTGTCAAATTTACGCAAATTCGTTGCTCACAGGCATGGCTTATGGTGGTGCTCGATACATCGGAACTGGTCGTGGTTTCGCAACCGCCAGAATTCCATTTGGTATCTTGTACTCTCGATTTGCTGGACCTTCCATTTACCTGGGTGCAAGATCACTTCTTATGTTGCTGTTCGCCACTTGCACAATTTGGCAACCTGCTTTAGTGTACTTCTGGCTATCGCTGGTGGCGTTGGTCATCTCACCGTTCCTGTACAACCCGCATCAATTCTCATGGGACGATTTCTTCATTGACTATCGCGACTACCTTCGTTGGTTGTCTCGTGGCAACTCTCGGTCACACGGCCAGTCATGGATTGCCTTTTGCCGTCTCTCCAGAACTCGTATCACGGGTTACAAGCGCAAAGCTTTGGGTGATCCATCTGAGAAGCTCGCCGCTGACATGCCTCGTGCAAAATTCACCAACATCGTATGGAATGAGATTGTCGGACCCTTTGTGCTCGTCTGTATCACCCTTGTTGCGTTTATGTTCATCAACGCCCAGACAGGTCTCAGAAAGGATACCCCAGGAAATGAAGCAATGAAGGATATTGATATGACACCCACCGGATCTATTATCCGTGTAGCCATTGTTGCTTTCGCTCCTATTGCAGTCAATCTCGGTGTATGTGCAATGTTTGTTGCGATGGCATGTTGCATGGGACCTGTATTTGGGATGTGCTGCAAGAAATTTGGCCCTGTTCTCGCCGCTATTGCACACGCCCTTGCTGTCATTGTGCTGCTCGTATTCTACGAAGTCATGCTATTCTTGGAAGGCTTCAGCTTCTCCAAGGCTGTACTGGGAATGGTCACCGTTGTCGCAATCCAGAGATGGTTCTACAAGTTGGTCATCGTCCTGACCCTCACCCGTGAGTTTAAAGCCGACACTAGCAATGTGGCTTTCTGGACCGGAAAGTGGTACGGATTGGGTAAGCTCTCATTCTCATTTATTTTCAATCATAAATACTAACATCGAATAGGATTGCACGCAATGTCTCAACCTGGACGTGAGCTGCTATGTAAGATGACTGAGATGGGCTTTTTCGCAGCCGACTTTATTCTTGGGCACACATTGTTGTTCTTCATGTTGCCCTTGATCCTCATTCCCTACGTCGACAAAGTGCACTCCATCATGCTGTTCTGGCTTCGTCCGTCGCGCCAGATTAGACCTCCGATTTACACAGCCAAGCAGTCGAAGCTCCGTCGCCGTCGTGTGGTTCGATTCTCGGTCCTCTACTTCTTCTTGTTTGTGGTCTTCTTAGTCATGGTTGCTGGGCCTGTCATCGTCAAGGATACCTTGATCAAATCCACCAAGACCGTCAACTTCATGCAATCTTCTTTGAACGTCATTCAACCGCCTACCAACAAGTGGAATACCACCGACACTGCCTACTGGCTTGACAACATTCTTGAACTCAACGATGGTAGCAACATGACCAACAAGGGTGATGCGGACGGTGTCACGAACCCGAAGGCCACTGGCACCGGCGCACCCGCCTCATCGACGGCTAAAGCTAGGTTGTTTTAGATAGTCTAGGATTACGGCGCGCTCAGTACATAGTCTCATTTCTTGGCACGCACTAATGCGTACGCGGCCTACAAGCCATTTCTAGGAGATATTGGGGGATGGTGCATGGATAGAAAGGTTATACGTTAGTACTTTTGTCTTTTTCACGCTTTTCGTTGGAATGTATTTTCTTTCACTCGGCACCCTCTTTGCGAAAAAGAGGTTGTTTATTATCTTGGTTTTTTTTGTTGTTTTGAAGAAATTCTCATTGGGGGTATCATGATTGTTCAGAAACCACAGTTGTGGTATTCGTCTCGGTGTTTTTCCTTTTTTATGCACTCGTTTGAACATTCTCTCTAACACCAAATGTTGAAGAATGTTATTACCCTGTTCGAGTAAAATCCTCAATGCATATATATACCGCTTGTGTTTTTGTTGACGAAAATTTCTCTCTCAAGTTTGTGTTCCAGAGTCGCGATATCAGGGGGGCCCGTTGGGTAGTGGATGAAAAAGGGGCGGGGGTGGGGATAGAAGGGATTGAGAAAAACAAAAGAGAGAGCAGAAACTAAAGAATTCAAAACTAATTGACATTCCCTGAAGATTTGCCATCTTTTGAGGTTTTTTGTTTTTCTTTTCGTTTCTTCTTTCTCTCTGGAGACCCGCGGAGGAGAGCGGTTGGAACTTTGTTGGTTTTTTCCTGTTCTCTTTTTCTTTTTACTACATACAATATATGAAACGGTAATGGCAGAAAAGCAAATTAATGAGATGTTTTTTTCTGATAATCGTGGCCTGGTCTTCGAACGTGATGTGACGTGTGATGTGTGCCTCGTATGAATGTGGGCTGCTGAAGTTTGTGATGTGAATCGAATGGAGGTGTGGTAGAGTCCATAAGTAGTTGAAGAGTGGAAATTGAAGTGATGTGATGATGTAGAGAAAGCGCTGGCAATCTATCCACGTAGAGTCCTAGCTACACAGTATGCGGACGATCGTGAAGCCTGTATCGCGAATACATACACCGTTGATCATCACGAAATCACAGTTCGATCTGAAGAAGTGGAGGACAGTATACTACCGTCACTACAATCCCAAACTCTTGCCCCCACTATAGGTATCGTACTCATGTATGAATTGCACCCAACGAGTCGTCACTCCGCCGCGCAAATACAGATGTTCAGGCCAAAAAAACTTTGTGGTCACCAGGAATCGGACCTGGGTCTAGTCGGCGCTGATGCCCGGAGGCAAACCACAACGACTCGTACTTACCACTATACTATGACCACTAGTGATCCAAACAAGGGTAGTCTAGATGTCATCCGGCAAGCATAGCACATGCACACCAGCCTGGAAGACAGCGTCTCTATCAAGTTCTGGGCAGAGTACAGGACTTGGGATTGAATACCACGGAGCTGCGCTGGACTAGTACTTGCAATCTAGGTGGAAACAAGGCACGGTCAGTGATGGACGCGACACAGATATCACTCGGTGCGCAAAGAGTGCCGTCCCACACTGTTCTACTTGGGTATCTGCATTTCAGCAAGCTAACCTCTGGCGCGCTACGACTGTCTCTTGAACGTTTCGTAGCAAAGCCCGGTTCCAACCGACACGTCCAAGGCCATTCTAGTGCTCTGCACCATCCGTAATTCCAAAACACGGAAATCTATCATTACATCACCGCCTGGTATCATTCCCCAATCACTCACGCTCCCCCAACCGCGCCCCGCTCCCTCCCCCACCCTTCCCACCGTCCCAAACAAGCCGCCATATTCGCAGCGACCACAAGATCCAGCACCTCCTGTCCAGGGCCATGCACAATCAACATCCCCAGCTTCCCCTTCTTCCCCCTCCCACTCCCGTCGTCCATATCCGTCGCACTCTTGGCGCGCCGGTGCCCACCGCCGCCGCTCTTGAGCTCCGCGACCGACAGCAGCGTGCTCCGCTCTGCCCCCGCGCCGTAGTACTTGCACTTCAGGAAGCGCCCGCCGGCCTCGTCCTGGAACTCGACGGTGCCCGCGGTGCCCCACGGGCACGCAAACACGTAGTCGCGCTTCTTGTGTCTCCGCAGGGCCGGCTCGTCGGCGGCAGCGGCGGACGGCGGCGGCGATTTGCGCCCGCGCAGACGCTCCCAGAAGCCCGCGCCCTCGATCTGCATCACGCGCGTGAACACGGCGGGGAGCGGCTTGCGCGCGCCGGGGTTGGGGCGCGGGGCGGCGACGGCGGCAAGGCGCTCGTAGCCCGCGCCCAGTACGTCGACGGTGACGCGGCCGGCGGCGCGGCTGAACTGCGCCACGTTGCGCTGCTCGCCGGACCCGGGGCTGCGGCGGATCAGTGTGGCGCTGCCGGGCGCGTGTGTCGGCTGGTGCAGGTAGTACAGGCTGCTGGCGATGTCGGCAGCGGTGGCGGCGGGCGCGCCGCGCGCCGGGTGCAGCGTGGTCAGGATTATGTCTGGCGTGTGTGTGAGCGCGGCGCGGCCCAGGATGGGGGAGGTGAGAAGTGGGCACCTTGTGAGTCCGGGACGCGCACGAGCCAGAGAAGGAGGCCTTTGCGCGTGTAGGAAGACTCCGGGTCGGGGCGGGAGAGCGGTGGGGCATCGGCGAGTGCTGAGAGGTGGGAGAGCGAGCTGGCTTCGACCGGGATTGAGGCGGTGCGGGATGGGGCTGGGCGGTCCGTGGGCTGCAGGTAGTGGTGCTGCGGCATTGTGGAATCGGATGGGATGGGATGGGATGGGAAGGTGGCTATGGAAGTGGGGAAGGAGTTGTTTGTGTGTCTTATAATGCTCACGGAGCTGCTGCTGTCGCCCGGAGGCTGTGTTGCGCCGTCGGGTCCGGATCGTCAGCGCTGTCGTGTCGTGCTGTGCGTCCGGCTGGAGCTTGGCTTGGCTGTGGCGGCGCACCAGCGCAAGTGAGTGATGATTGGTGGGGGCGCTGATTACTCCATAGTATTCTGCCTTGATGGGTTGAACGGGTACTTACTTCATGTATCCAAGAATAAACTTAAGTATACTGGATAGCTTCCCGTAACATCTGGAGAGTCTTAAGCCTAGACTACAACGATTGTACCACAACAACAAATTTGAATACTCCAAAACTGAAGATGGGCTCACTACTCCATCACCAAAGATATGGTGGAATCCCAGATCAAAATTATTATTTTGTCGTTGTTGAAATGCCAGATATAGGATCTGGAGAACCTCAAGACGTTACGGGAAGTTATCCGGTGGGTATCTATCCAACTCCTCACGATTATGGAATATAGCGGCACAAGATCGATCCAATCCGAATTGAATTGCGGTGTAAATTGAACTATCCAAACTAGAGCGGCGGTGTTGTCGGGCCTCGCCATGGCCTACGCGTGCGAGTTCCAGAAGGCTCGTTACTCTCGGAGAACACGCAGACTCTCTTCGTCGTAGATATCGAGGAACCCCTCAATCAGCTGCAGCCTCCACCTCTCCCAATCGACGTCCGACGACCCTAGCTTCCGCCCCGCCCCGGTCTCCGTTCCACACCTCACCACTGGCGGCAGCGGCGGCAGCGGCAGCGCGGTGGGCTTCTTCTTCTTCTTCTTCTTCACCTCTTCCTCGCCATACACCGCGACGACGATATGCTGGCCGCCCAGCAGGATCCCATTTAGCTCGTCCACGACCTGGCACTGTTGCGCCGCTGACGCCAGGGTCACCAGTGCGTGCCCGCGGTTCTTGCGCGGCCGCATGCTGGGGCCAAGCGGGAGCACGATCTGTGTGCAGCCATAGGCTGCGAGGAGTGCTTGCAGCTACTCGGAAAGCGTAAACAGTTAGTAATGGCGCACGTAGGCAAGGTTGCAGACAGACAAACCTCTTCGTAGGTTATGAGCTCGTGCAGCTTGGTAATCATGACACGGTGTGTCTGCGGCCCATGGCGATTGATGGCTTTGGGTTTAAACACCGGGCCAAGGTTTTGAGCGGGCCAGACGGGCATGAGTATTGCGGTGTAAGTTTTTGTCTTGCTAGGATTTGGTGAGGAGGTGCTGTGTGGCACGTTTGGAATGTTCGAGGAGCTGAAGCTTGTTTTGATTCGAAGCTTTGAATACTTACAGTCTTGAAACGTCCCAGGACCAATACCCGAGGCTGATGACTGGACGGTTCCGAGGCTGTGTTTGAATTTTTTGAGTCCTACAAATTTCCCGGTATTTCATATTCGGGATTTATGCTTTGTTGAGTAGTACTGTAATCGGTTCGTATAAATAACATCCATGGAGCAAAGATCTGGTGTTTTGTCACCAACCATTTCTCTCAATTTGCCCACTGGCCCGAAGACCCTTTACAGAGCTTGGATTGTAGTTATTGTTGGCACTTAATCTTGCGATAGAGAATCATTTGTATCATCGCATGTCTTGGATATCCTGGAACTAGACCGGAGTGCGGCCGGGACCAAGCAAGACGAGAGAACACAGGTGTCGATGTCTCATCCCATGTGCAACACTAACTTGGATTTGTTGATCAAAATTTGCATCATTATAATTCTATCTTAGCCTGCTGCACTAGCACCGACTGAAGTAGGGGTAGTCAGTCCTGAATCCGGACTGTGTTTTGTCCATTGAAAAAACTGAGTTCGGGTTGAAAGATCTAGAGTAGAGTCGATTGCTGGATTATGTTTAGTGAATTCAAGCAGGTGGACATCGCGAGGAGTGATGAACAAATAGGCAATCACTGTAATACGTTTGTTGCGGTCTAGTTGAGAGCCAATAGTTCTGTCTAAAACAGTAGGGGGTATCTCGTCTAATATTTTTCCTAGTCTATGCAGCCGTAATCACCTGTGTGTGCCACCTGCTGGTGTAACTCACTTTTCAAAAGTACAGGGCTGACAGACTGTATTGTTCCATGCCTGCTTGCGTAAATACCTATCATTGTTGTCTAATCTCGACCAGATATTATCTCCACTAAGCTTTGGCCATATTCCAGCCCGACTTACGTACCATATGATCCAACCTAGGGTAAGAAAAGGCCTCATTATAATCTAGCTCATACTATCGCTAGTTAATAGAGGTAAATAGCTAGTAAGCTCTCTGATTTCTCGTCATGTATATTGCAAACTGAAGACAAGACACCCAAGCCATCTGAGTTAGATCACACAGCGATGGCGTTACAGGACTGAACATTAAATGAGCATATGGCTAGCAAAGAACAGGTCTGATTAGACAAGATTAAGGTTGATTAGGTAGAAGAGTGCTGGGATCGTTAATTAGACAAGAAGCTCGTGAGTAAGTGATCCGAAGTGTACTATAGTAGTTGCAAGAGGAGAATAGAACAAAAATCATACAGAAGAAAAGAAACAGAACTCTAACGAAGGCAAATAGGCTGGAACGTACTGGAATCTGCTAGAACCTACTAGAACACAGCGGACCTGCTGATGTTTTAATCAGGCGTCTACGAATATTCCACCCCTCCAAAATAGACAAAAACAGCCTAATCCAGAATGTAGCGGGTACCTACTCATTTGGGCCGTATACATAACTTTGATGCATCACAGTGAATGCTAGCTTTTCTACCACATGTCATTGTAAAGTAATACATATGAAGACCAGAGTTTTGAATGCATTCGATGCTCCCAGAAGACCAGGAGCTCATGTATCTACGTACACGCATCATTCATCCAGCAAGCCTTTGCCGGCAGTGGAAGACCTTGGTACTACCTAGTGTGTCAGCTGATGCAGTGCTGTACACACGGCAATGTTTCTTTGTTCCTTCACAACTCTCATGATTTGGTAGAATTCGTGGTCACGTCCTTTTAGGCGATGTTGTCGGAAAGAACTAAGCTTGCTAACACACATCAGCCGCAGCTCATCGGCCAGCAGAGACACCCGACCAAAACGGCCCGATTCCATTATTAAACCACGGAGCTAGGGAACCGTCCTCAATGTATACGCGGAACGGTTCACAATCGCGCCACAAAGACTCGCCACTCTGAGCTCTGCTGCGAAAAGTGCTACACGATATTCGTCAGAATTAAGGTTGGGGTGCTACCGGCAAGGTTGTTAGAGGCTGCAGGAGGTTGTTGGAGGCACTTGATGCAGAGGGAATAGTGAGTGAGAGTGTATGAGGATACGATGCTGACTATGTCTGACGAGATGCGGATTTTGGGAGCGATCCTGACAAGCAGACGTAAAACTAGCTAATACAGTTGATAGGATAGATACTTTGTTACGGACTACTTTGATATAGCTACATTTAAATATGTCTGCTCTCAGCGTGGTTGATAATCGACTGGTGTGTCCGCTGGAGCTAATTTATAGCGGGGGATAGACTAAC